AATATTCTCTAGATCTATATAGAGGCTAAAACACATTCTAACAAAAGCGCATAAAATTGAAAATCTGTGGAATTTGAGTTTGCTAAACAACAATGGCCTCCTATCTTTGACTGTGATTGGAGAAACTTAATAAAAGATTGACAAACGAGTACTAGTCTGTTACTGAATTCTGTGGCCTGTAGACTTCTACATCTATTCAAAGAGTATAATCTATAGATTGGCAATGGAGTGATTAGGGCGAGACCAAAATTAAAATACACCAGTGTGCGTGTAATGTGCATGTTTGGGTGACAAATGTGCATTGCCTGCCTCAACTTCTTTGCATTATAACTTAATATTTATAGCCAACTACGGCAAAGCCAAAAGGATAGTTACAATTTTAGACAGCTATGTAAATATGTATATAGGCATGTTCATCTCTTCTCTCAAATCTAAACTAATATTCACAAATCAGTTAACTTCAAAAGCTTGTGAGCTTTAGTGGTGCTGCATGAAGCTGCATGAGGATAAAAACTAACATGCATACTTAAAACTAGTTATATGAGAAAAACTAAAACTTAATTATCCTACAGCCCCCCCCCCCCCCCCCCCCCATGGTATTGTGCCAAGAAGGTTGGCTGCATGTCCTTGCTAAATGGCTACACCAATTAAATAAATATTGAAATATCGTATCAATTAAAAGGTGTAATTCATAATATTTTCGACATTTCGAAAATACATGTTATAAAAATGTTACCTATAGAATTTTTTTATAGGAGAGCGCGAAAACAAGCATGCGGCTCACCTAATGGTAAATGACTACTCCGCCCATGAACAACTGCAATACCAGAGGAGTTGCAGATGGGTTGCCACCCTTTTAAAAAGGAGTTAGGCTCTCTTCTCGAAGGTCCTTAAGTAGTATCGGTCCGGAAAAATCTCTGGTGGTAGTCAATTCCACAAGAAAGTTGTGCGAGAAAGAAAACTTCTTTTAAATCGCACAGTGGTGGACCCCCAGTCATTCGGATAGTATAGATGGTATCACGAGTTTTGTCGCGGTGTACGATGGTGAAAATGTGCGGCTGGAATTAGTCTGAACAATTCCTCAAAGCGCTCCCGTGGCAAATGCGATAAAATACGCAAAGAATTGCCACATCTCTTCGCAGTGCCAGTGAGTCAAGCCGATTGGAAAGAGCTCGGTCGCAGACGTTTCGAACGGCTCTGCGCTGGATGCAGTCAAATGGAAGGAGCTGGGACTAGGGAGCCCCGGCCCTGAGATAGGAAGAGGCGCAGGTTCTTGCGCCTTGTAGAGTTGCATGCGGTGTGCCGGTGTGAAATTGTGTCCCGCTCTGCTGAGAACGCCAAGCATTTTAGAGGCCAATTTGGCCTTCTTTTCCAAGAGACCACGAAACTGCATGTCACTCGATATGTCGACGCCGTGGATTGCAATACCGTCTAAGGCAACACGGGGAGTGCCTTGAAACTGCTAAACTAAAAATGCTAAACATGACGAAGGAGTTCTTTTTTTAGTAAATGCGCAAACTTCTATCTATTGGGGATTTGTACTTTGTCAACAAAGCCTCGACTTCAGACACAAGTTTGTTCCGGTACTCTGGGACGTTGCTTCGAAAAATATTGGCCTTTGTACTTTGTTCAACAAAGCCTCGACTTCAGACACAAGTTTGTTCCGGTACACTGGGACGTTGTCTCGAAAAATATTGGCCTTTGTACTTTGTTCAACAAAGCCTTGACTTCAAGACACGTTTGCTCGCGACGTTTTCTCGAGAAATATTGGCACGGCCGGCGTATAAAGCATCACCATTGCTGTCGACAGCATAACAATTACCGGGTTGGAACATATCATTGATATTGTGACTGCCCATTATTTTTTGGGTTATTTAATAGAGTAATCACATCTGGTTGGGCTAGATAAATATATAAAGGGAAAAATAAATATACTTAAATATATATTTAATATACTAACATAAATAAATAAATAATACATAAATAAATAAAAGCCCAACCAGATGGAAGCCCTCGGCAGGGGAGACCAAACGGCCGAGGGTTAAGGGGAAAGGGAAAGAAACCGGCGGACGATGCGGGCGGTATCGAGGAGCACCGCCTTCTATATTTGAGCCCGGAGCGGTCCGTCACGGAGTCCCAGTCGCCTCAGATGGCCCGAGAGGCTGGCTGGGATTAACCCGTTTGCAGACACGACTACAGGAATTATTTCGGTCGGCAGACCACCCCACATGTCGGTCATCTCGTGAGCCAGGTCCAGATATTTTGATTGCTTGTCTGTTTCGGCTTTCACGAGGTTCTCGTCATACGTAATGGTAATATCGACCAAAAATATCCTTGACTGTGTCCGGTCCATCAGCACAATATCAGGCTTATTCGCAAGAATAGTCCTGTCTGTGATGAAGGTCCGGTCCCAGTAGAGCCTGGCGCGGTCATTTTCGAGCACGGATTCCGGCAAGTACTTATAATACGGCAATTTTCGGTCCACGAGAACGTATTTCAGAGCGAGCTCCTGGTGTTGAAATCTGGCTACTAGGTTGTGCCTGTGCAAGTACTCAGAGTTAGAAAGCGCCGATCAACCGGAGATGACATGCCTAAGTGACTCCCCGGGATGGCGACAAGCTCGACAGATATCGACAGTGCCATCCTTTAGGATGTATCTCCGATAGTTGTTGGTCTTAATAACCTGATCCTGTATTGCACAGACAAAACCCTCGGTTTCCTCGAAGAGGTCGCCGAAACGTAGCCAGTTGAGGGAGACGACTGTAGTACCTCCCGTGGAGCTCCTTCTCCTTCCATACGGTCTCCCGGTCGGAAATGCTAAGCACTGCTGGGTCCTGCCATTGCTCGTTGGCTAAGGATAGAGGGGTAAGCCCTTTATCACTAGAAATGACGTCATTATAGAATGGATCATCCGATCTCGCCAGGAAGTAATTACGGAGGCTGCACACTTCGCGATTATGCATGGTGAGCGCGCTCAGAAAACCACGCCCACCATGCTTTCGCGGCAAGTACAGCCTCATTACCGACAATCTCGGATGATGCATCCTATGGGACGGCATGGTAGTGCGGACTTTTCTATCCAGAGCGTTAAGTTCAGTCTGGGTCCACCTGAGTATGCCAAAAGTATACATGAGGACAGGCATGACCCAACCGCTATATGCGTGTCTTATTCACACCGGACAAAAGGCTGTTAAGCACTTAGGTCAAGCGTGTATTAAACACGTCGCAAACTGACTGTTTCATACCAGCCTCATCGATACCGATGTTCTGTGACATACCCAGGTATCGGTATGTTTCAGCCTCGGAAAGGGTCCTTAAGTTGACGGGCATAGATAAGTCTATGCCCTCAGAGTTAGCAACCCTTCCCCTTTCAACATGGAGGACCGCACACTTATCCGTTCCCAGCTCCATTCCAATAGAATTGCTAAATTCACAAGTGATGTTTAGCAATTCCACAAGATGGGAGCGACAGGAGGCGAATAACTTGAGGTCATCCATATAGAAAAGGTGGGTCACTTTTGTACCTCCTTTCCGAAGCTGAAATCCCCCTCCCGGAGCCCTCTAGTAAAGTACTGAGAGGGTTCAGAGAGAGGCAAAACCAGATTGGACTCAGACAATCGCCCTGGAAGATACCCCTTCTTATCCTTATGTGTTTCTCTGCAGCCATCATCCGCTCGCCCAGATAGCAAAGGATCGTACTCCATTGCCCCATACACTGCTCGAGGAAGTCTCCAACTGTACAGTCAATTTTGTACAGCTGGAGGACTCTTTTTAGCCATGTATGGGGCACCGAGTCGAATGACTTTCTGTAGTCTATTCAGGCGGCGGAGCAACTCCGACGGTTGCGTTTCACCACTTTGCCAATGACCGCGTCAATGAGGAGTGGTTCCTTGGTTCCACGATCACCGCCCCGACATCCATTTTGAGCGCGTGACATCACCTGATTTAGCTCCAGGTGACGAGTGATTCTCGCGCTCAAAATGGATGTCAGTGTCTTATATATGGTGGGTAGACACGTGATGGGGCGGTATTTGCTCGGGTCTGTGGTATCCTGATCTTTAGGAACCAAATGAGTGATCCCAGTAGTGAAGAGGCTCGGGAGCGACTTCTGATCGAGAGCCTCTTGAAACTGTCGGACGAGCACAGCGTGACACACTACGAACCCCTTCAGCCAGTAATGATGCAGCCCGTCGAGCCCCGGACTTCGGGGCCCTACGGACCGCCTCAGCCACGTCTTCAGACGTTATGGTGACGGGGTCCATAGGCGTAACACTTGCACTCTGGCTCGCCACAACTTCCATCCAAGGGCACTCGCTGTGGTTTACGGGCTCTGACCACAGGACACGCCAAAATGCGACAGTGTCAGCCTGATCCGGTCCTGGGCCCGCTCCACATACCTCTAGTCGCTCAAATGATTTATAGAGCCTCTTCTGATCACTCTGGAAGAGACGATTCTGGTTGAACCGCCTTGACCTCTCGCTAAATCGTCGAATCCGCTTCCCCCAAGCAGTGATTCTTTGCTTCAGGTCATCTATGCGCTCCGTTAGTTTTTGCGTGATATCCGGCTGGGACAAACTAAAATTTGTCCCAGCAAACGCCATTCTAACGGTGCGCACAACTCTCGGTCTATTATTACCCGACTTGAAGCTTGTCAGTCTGCCGATAAGGACCCTTGCATTTGCGATACGGTCCTCAATTCTTTTTCTCCAGGCTGGGATGGCGCTACTTTTTTGAGTAGCACGTCCAGCCACGGGAAGTTTGGCGCCAATAATACGGCATACTGCCAGTGCGGCGCCAAAAAGAATTGAGTCCGTCTCGCAAAGGTCCCGGCTGGCTTCCAAATAGGTCACCAGCATTGGGTTAAGAGCCCGCACGAAAGCTCGATTTCGCTTGCTAAGGGGTATGCGGGGGAAGTCGCGATCGATTTTCGAGAGGCATGCTGCGCGTTTCCAGCATCGACTCTTCCAATATGCTCCTCATTTTCTCTTGTTCGTGGGAGACTATTCCATCATCGTCTGAATTAGCCACAAATGGAATGTTGACGCAGCATCCACATATGCAGTTTGTTGCGCATCTAGTGGCGCCGCATTCCCAGCCGTAGCATTTCCATTCGATGAAGGAATAGCCTCACGTCGTAGTCGTTCGAGTTCGGCGTCACCAAATATGTTGGAGCGCAGGATGTATCGAACTCGGTCTGCCAGGTTTTGCTCAGTGATGGATAGAGATGGCTCCAGCTCTGCAAAAAAGCGATGCATCCGAGCCCGATACGCCAAACATCCAGTTTCTTCCCCTTTTGCCCTAAAATACGCCCACAGTGCGTTTGCATTCATTAATTTTGATCAACGCATGCGACGTGCTCCACCAGCGGCGGGTGCCGCTTGCTGAGTCCGAGAAGACCCAGCCGACACCAAGCCTTCTGGTGGGGATGATGGATGCGGGGGGCTGCTAGGTGGCCTTGCAACACCCGCGCTCGGCTGGCGGCCCGCAAGCTGTCGCGTCCAGCGCCAGCTCCAGACGCGCCCTGGCGACCTCCAGGCAGCGGCCCTTTGCGCACTATCTTTTTTCCATCATCCTTATTATTATATCCTTATTATTATTATTAATTAATTTTTATATAAAGCCGTCAAAATTTAAGTTAGAAGAAATATATTAAACAATAAAAATTCTATTGTGGAAGGAAGAGTTTTGCAAGCAACTAGATCTCCCATTGTCGCCGATATAATCGTGGAAGATTTTGAGGAGAAAGCCATCTTTACTGCCATGCATGCCAAAAGCCATCTCTACTCCAAGGTTCATACAAACGGTACGTAGACGATACTTTTACAATTTTACCATCAGACAAAGTTACTGCATTTTTAGAACATCTTAATTCCATAAACTCTAAAATTCAATTTACTATGGAGTTAGAGGCAAAGAATTCCGTAGCTTTCCAAGATGTGTTAGTCATCCGAAATCCTAACAACACTATAGGTCATACTGTGTACCGAAAAAAGATCCATACAAACCGATATTTAAACGGTGAATCTCACCATCACCATTCACAGTTAGCTACCGCGGACAAATCTTCATTATACAGAGCACGAGGGATCTGTGTCAGCAAACACCTGGCCGCCGGGCTTCAGCACGTCAAGCAGATTCTGCACGACAACAGGCTTCAGGTCCCGCGCCTACGTCACAGTTACCGCGTGAAGCCAGCCACAGTCAAGCGTGTGCCTGCTGTACTACGATATGTCAGACGTGTCACAGACAAGATTAGCTACATCTTAAAGTGAGCTTCTATTAAAACATTCTACAAGCCGCCGAAGAAGATAAGTCAGTTCTTACCATCCGTCAAGTGTCATATTCCTCTACAAGATGCAGGAGTATACAAGCTTGATTGTGAATGTGGTCTCTCATATATAGGGCAAAGTAAAAGACCAATTAGAACCCGCGTTAAAGGAAAACACAGCTGTCGTGAAGCATCAACGTTCCGGGAAGTCTGCAGTTTGTGATCATATCCTAGACGGCCCCAACCATTACATCAGATTTAATAGATCACAAATCCTCGCGAAAGAACATCGATTCCTATCAAGGATGGTACGTGAGGCTATTGAAATTAAAAAACATCCTAATTTCAATAGAGAAGGAACACCTGCTTGGGACTCTATAATTAATAAAATTAAAACTAAACCCAAGTATACAACTGCAAGACTTCAAGATACTATAAGTTCATTCTGCGTAGATCGGACCAAAAACAATAATTAAAAAGCTGAAGGTACTCGGGCTTAACACTGACATCGGGACGTCAGTCACCTCAGTCCATGTCCACCTGTGACCATGGGTGCTGGAAAGCACCCGAAACGTCGGGTATCAAAAATAAAATAAATTACATATTATATAGGTACATAAACACTCACGCCTCTCACCCAGAGGGGTGGGCAGATACTATAGACTTTCATTTGGCGCGATCCTGACACACCTCTCTCGCCTCCTCCACATTCATATACCTACGTATATATGCTCGCCGGTTAAGGGTATTAAACGCGATAAAATCACTTAAAAAGCATAAAGTTAAAATAAATACATTTCGGACATTAAGTATTATAGTAAATTAAAGGCCTAATATTGCCTTTCAAAATCAATGCTGCATGGGATCTTAGTTCCATGTAATCAGAAGCTGAGTCACCTCCGTTTGCCTAAATTTAATTAAGGTTAAGTAATTAGTTTATGTGTAAACATGTTTATTAAAAGTGGCAATAAAGTGATATTTTATTTATTTAGTAAGTTCGCTGGGGCGCTTTCATAGTCAAGCGTTTAAAGAACGCCGTCCAGACGCACACGCTTGCAAATGCTCTAAATAATAGGTATTCGATTTTATATTCACGCCGTTCAAGCCCGCACTGTTGAAACATAGTTGAAACGCTCGCTGTCGGCTTGACTGTGAAACCAACCTAGATCTTTACATATTTCGGTAATAGGTATCTTACTGTACCGTATATACCTAAATCTGATTCGTCTATAACCTCAAAATCTGATACTTTTTTGGAAATATATCTATTCTGCAGCTAGTCCGCTATCAAAATAAGATCATATAGGAATTTCCTATTGATCGAAATACAACACATAATTTTTCGATGCTATTGGTTCCTAAGTGAATTCAAAAAAAATTCCTGTCATTAAGCGTGTTCGTGTAGAGAAAATTGCATAAGTCATTCAGCGTGTTCGTGTAGCCAAAAAATGTCTAAGTCATTGGGCGTGGCGGAGACGCATACTCAAGGGTGAAGGGCAGTGGCGGCGCAAGACCTACATTTTATGTGGGCAAGATACATTTTGCGAGACCCTCTGCCCGCGCAAGAAGACGAAGAAGAAGAGGATTATATAAAATGAAAACAAAACACTTGACATTATGAAATTTGTATTTATACAAAATCATTAAGTACTAACACCAAACAATTTCAAAGAAAAGTGAACAAGTAGATATTCTGCTTTTTATCCTGTTGAATTGTTTTAATTATAGCCTCATAATATAGCTTGGATGCTATATCTGCCTCGATAGATAAAACTTTCATCGCTGAAAGTATTTTTTGTGACATTGCATTCCTGAGATAATTTTTAATGAGTTTTAATTTTAAGAAGCTTCCTTCAGCGGAGGCAGTACTGATCGGTATTGTTAAATGGCGATGTAAATGTTTGGGGATATTTTTTAAATTATTTTCTGTAACGTATTGGAGAAGCTGTTCCACATCTCTTACGACGTTAGGTAAATTAGGGATCATTAATTGTAATTCTTCACATAATTCGTATGGTATTAGATGGTTTGGAATATTTTTTAACTTGTTTAAATCATAATGTTGGATTAAAGCCATAAATCTTAAATCCAAATTTGTTATAATTGAACAAGCATGGTATTGAAAAAATCTGTTTCATATCGACTTTTAGGAGACTGTATAGGTTAATCCTTGCCTTCATAATCCAACATCTTTTTCTTTTTGGCTACTCTTTTATTTTTAAAGTCTTTTGGCAGATCATAACAGTTTTTTTTTTTCAATAAACTGTTGAGCACCAGGCAAGCATTTTTCGAAACAAGTTTGTCGATATTCTTTAATCCATTCACAAAATGTACGTAAACGTTCAAGAGCTTTAATTTGTTTTCACCTATACTGAAAACCCTACCAAAATAGTTAACAATTTTACAAGTTATAACCTCAAATGGCTTAGCAAGATCCTCCGTCATGCCGAAGTTATTGCAGCATTAATTTTGAAATAAATATATGGTAAAGTTGAGGATTAATGTTAAGTACTATGTTAGATGAAAACATGATTCCGTAAAATTTTCGCGATAGAAAAAAATCCAAAGTTTCGCGATAGAAAAAAAATACTTTAAATAAGATCATGAAACTTTGCATACTAACTGAACTAACTATACAGCAGGGCTTACCTATGTTTTTTATCCTTTTTAAATTACCATTATTTTCACTGTAAAAAGAAATTACCTAAACTATCGGCATCTTGAAGTTTGGAACCGGGCGGCAGGAAACAAGCATGAAATAAGAATAGCAGGGGAGATTGTCGAGCAAGTAGATGAATTTGTATATTTGGGATGTGTATTCAGCAGGGATGGGAGATGTGATAAGGATATTGAACGACAAGTGAATGCAGGTAATAAAGTAAATGGGGCTCTACACTCTATTGTGAAAAGTCAGAATGTGTCAAAAAAGGCATGTATGGCAATTCACAATGATGTATTATAGTCAAAAAATCTAAGAAATACATTTTGACGGATTGTATGTGAGTAGGTGTTAAATTACTTTCAGTAAATATACTTACAAAACATTCTTTAGTTGTTTCTGAGTTTTTCTTTTTCATTGATCTTGCAAAAACATATTTACTAAATACATCAATAACACAAAGTATATACTTGAAACCATCATTATATTGAGAATAAGTTCGCATATCGCGAACATAATTCCCGCGTAATAGATAGAATGTACCTATTACGCGGGAATTTTTTTCAAATGGGTTTAAGTAATGCGTATGTTTCTTGTGATTTTAACCATTCCTTTACTTGCTTTTTATTAATTTTACCCTTCATAGCTTTTGATAATTTATCAATACTACCAAAACCAGCGGGATTAGATGGATCATAATAAATCCTGTTAATTTCTTCTAGTACGGGGTCCATTTTTCCTACTCAAGCCTTTTACGTATTTTAGTTGTAGACTTTTTATCTCTACTGTTTGGTGTAGAAAAGTCTTGAACTTCAATCTCAGAGGGTTTGTTCAGATCTTTTGCTTGAAGTTGGTTAATAAACTCACATCTCTTTGAATTTCCAATATAAGTAAGTGGTACTTTAATATCTTTTAATGCTTCAGCAAATCTATCCCACCCTACTGAATCACTTCTTTTTAAGGGTCTTAGTGAATCATTTATTAAATCAACAATATTACTTCCAGGATTTTTTTCATTATCAATTATGACTGTACCTTCATTATCATAATGTATTTTACTTTTACTTGTTTCAACTAAGTTTAATAATAACTGTCCTTTTTATTATAAGTTTTTGGTATTAAACTGAGTATACCAAAAACTTATAATAAAAACAGCAGCTGTGCTTATTAGCTTGTGTGTAAAGTGTAGTTTCATCATTTTCTTTACTTTTAATGGATCGATTCGCCTCCAAGAAAGATTCAGCATCAACTGGTTTTTAGATATCTATCTTTATTTTTAAAACCAATTTTAGACTCATTTGAATCTTCATTAGATGTATCAGAATAAA